CGTTCTGTGTATTTATTCACAGCACAGAGAGCTCTGTCTACCATCCAGCTACATCCTCTGGGCTGTGCAGCTTATCTGGGACAGAGCTAGAGGAAACCTGATTTCTAAGTCTCCTTCCAATCCTTCCACCCAGCCTCAACCTTGTGTCAGTGTCATTTCCTGGAGATATTAGGGGGAAGTTCCCACAGTGCAATGGGGGCAGAACAGCTGGGATGTTTGCCATCCTTGCCCACCACTACAAGAACTGTTAGGCCCTGCTAGCCATAGCAAGCCAGGCTTGGCCACCTGTATTCCATCAGCAAAAGACCAGCAGAACAGCAGAGGAAGTTTCTAATATTTTCAACGTGGCCACATTGGGAAATGGAACAGCAACAAAAAAGAGGTTCAGTGATTCCCCAGTTCCATCTTTGGGGTCCTGAGACGGGTGAGGTCCAAACAGAGGATGAGGTGGCTCAGTGGATAAAGGTGTTTATGCCGAGTCTAAAGACCCGAGTTCAATGTTCTGGTCCCATATGGTGGAAGGAAAGATCTGAGAACTATTTTCTGAGCTCCATACATGTGGGCACACACATGTATAGAAACAGAATTTAAAATTTCAGGGCAAGAAGGGCTGATATCAGTCCTGAGCTAGGTACATTCCTGCCCAGCACTGACCTTGTCATGGTCTCAGCCCCAGACTTTCCAGCAAAAGTGATCTGATGGGTTGTTACCTCTGTGAAAGAGACAAAGCCTGCCTCTGACTGACACCAATTCACCTGTCCTCTCTCCTAGTCTGAGATTCTAACTTATTAGGGTCCTTTGTCTCAATAGTCTGATGGCCAGAGGGACGGTCACAGGGGTTTCTGTAGAATGCCTTCTCTTCTGTCAGGAAAGTTATAAATTCACCAACAGAAGGAGCATCTCATTAACCTCAAGACCCCATCTCATCGGGGTGATCCAGGAGAGGTCTGCCATATACTTTGCCCTCAAAATGACACTTTTGAAGGATGAAAGGGAGCACACTGGCACTCAGGGCCACCTTTCCCACAAGGCATGCTCAGAGCTGCTGTATGAAAGCATTCACTCTCTTCTAAGCAGACACAGTGCGAACCTGGTCAGGGGCCAGTGACAGCACCCAGCGTATGAGTGGCACAGCTGAGCTCCAGAAGTGGATGTAAGAAGCAAATCTGAAGGGCACGGTGTGTGTCTCAGTTGGTACAGTGTTGCCCTAACATGCGCAAAGCCCTGGATTTCATTGCCAACAAGGCATAAATCAGGTGTGGTAGTGTACGCCTGTAATCACAGTATTCAAGACATGGAGGCAGGAGGATCATGATTTCAAAGTCCTCCTTAGCTACATAGTGAGTTCAAGGCCAGCCTGGGACACACCTGAGACCCTATCTTTAGACAGATAAATAGCCAGACAACTGGGATATGGTGTGGGGCTGTTAGTCCAGACTCAGTCCCTGGTGCTCCTTAGACAAGCTTGTGTCCAGATGCCACCCTTGCAAATTCTGTACTCTGCTTTCCGTTCTCAAACAGTGACTGAGTTCAAGGCATTGATGCTTTTTCTTTTCTCTCTCTCTCTCTCTCTCTCTCTCTCTCTCTCTCTCTCTCTCTCTCTCTCTCTCTCTCTCTCTCTCTCTCTCCAGAATTCTATATAGCCAAGGATGACTTTGGGCTCAGGGTCTTTTGCCTTTTCTGTCGCCACCACCTAGCTGCTCTACCAGCACACTGCCACCTGACTTCTCAAGAAGTGTCTCCCTATCACATACCAACCCCCTATCTTTTCTTGCTAATGTCTTTTCGACACTACCCTTCCTCTCTAACAGACTGTTGGTCCACCAGACCAAATGACCTCCAGTGCTTGCTTCTGGGCCGGCTCACACCTCCCTGCCTTTCCCATGCTTTTCCCCGTGGAATGCCTTTCCTATACCTGCTCTTCAGTGGGCCTGATGAGCTTCAAATTCACCCCCCAGTGCAGGGCTCCACCCCAGCTGAAGTGACCCAGCCTTACTGCCAGCACACTTCCAGGACACACAGAGACTTAAGGGGGGAACTTAAAGCAGAAACCATGGAGAAGTGTTGCTTTCTGGCTCATTAATAGGCTCATGCTTATCTAGTCTTCTTATACAACCCATGATTATCTGCCCAAGGGATGGTGCTGCCCACAATAGGCTGGGTCCTCCTACATCCATTGACAGTCAAGACAATGTGCCATGGACATGCCTACAGGCCAATCCTTTAACTCTGCATCGCCCCAGTTTCCTTATCTATAAAACAACAGAAATATTGATACTTAACTTTGTTGAATTCTTATGAGGATTAAGTGAATTTAATTCACATCAAGTACCCATACCCATGCTTCACACAGAATAAGGGCAGAAAACAAGTTATGACAACATCATTATTATCCTGACATAAAATCCTTAGCATCATCAGCATAGCCATCCACGTTCATCCTTGAACTGACTCCAACACCTTCTCTAGCTGTCTTCTTCCCTCATCCTTTCTACTGAAAACCTTCCTGAAGCTCAGCAGGTACTTTCTTTTCCTCCTGGGGGAGTCACTGCACCACCTGTTTGTTTTTTTTCATCAGGTTTTCCCTTCTTGATGTACAAGTCACACATCCCCATCTTTTAGAGAACTCCTAAATCACTCCCCACTTAGCTTCTTCTGGACAGATGCTGCTCCTGGCCACCATGACAGCAAGGTCTATCCTTCTGTTGGATTGAAGGAAGAGCTTACATTGTTCACTTATTGGCAGCCCTGTCTATCCTTCTGTTGGATTGAAGGAAGAGCTTACATTGTTCACTTATTGTATCCATTCTGCCTCGGGTCATGAGCTGCCCCTACAGTCTGTCATTTTATTTAAGGCACACTGATTCAGATAAACCAGACACTAATGAATGCTTTGTTCCATGCTTTCCTCTCCCCATCCCCCAGATTCCTTACAGTGTTCTTGTCTTCCAGTAGTACAGTGAAACTAATGAGGTAAGGAGCAAGTGCAACAGTACAATTACTGGGTAATAGACTCTCTTGACTCCTGCATGTGTCTTCTCTTCCCATGCACTTGACTTTGGAAATCTGAACTGGGAAGAGTATGATTACTATTATTTAAATACTCGGTGGCCATCAGAATAACGACTCTACTACTCCCCAAATGCTCTGGGTGAGCAGTGGTTCTCAACCTTCTTGATGCGAAGACCCTTTAATACAGTTCTTCATGTTGTGGTGATCCCCAATATTAATTTATTTTCATTGCTTCTTCATCGCTATGATAATGATTCATAATGTAAATATCTAATACTCCCAATGGTCTTGGACAACCCCTGTGAAAGCATCATTGGACCCTCCCAAAGGGGTCACAACCCACAGATTAGGAACAACTGATCTAGAGTTTAGGAGTTCAGAGATGTCTTTAAAATGAGATGTTTGCTTGTATGAAGCATTTAAGTTTCTTAGCATTTTAAGTTTAAAATATATTCTAAATTAAAATTCTTGGGAGTTGTCTCTAGACTTCCTGCTCACTTTTACCTTAGTCTAAAGAGATACGAAGGCATTGCAGAAAAATAACGTATCATAATAGGAAAAGCATGGGCAACATTTCTCAGTTGGAGAAATGCTCTTTTTCTGTATGAGTAACTCAAAGATCCTGGTCTAGGATTAAAGGAGAGAGCTTGGAATTTAGTGAGTGTGGTGGATCGAAAGAAAATGGCCCCCAAAGGGAGTGGCACTATTAGGAGGTGTGGCTTTGTTGGAAAGGGTGTGGCCTAGTTGGGGGAAGTGTGTCACTGTGGAGGCAGGCTTTGAGGTCTAGCATATGCTCAAACCACACCCAAAGTCTGAGACCACTTCCTGATGCCTTTTGAGTTAAGATGTAAGAACTCTCAGCTCCTTCTCTAGCACCATGTCTGCCTGCATGCCACCTGCCCTGACGATAATGGACTAAACCTCTAAACTGTAAGCCACCACCCCAGTTAAATGTTTTCCTTTATAAGAGTTGCAGGGGTCATAGAGTCTCTTCCCAGCAATAGAAACCCTAATTATAACAGTGAGTAGACAAGAAGGACCCTTCATGGGTTTTCTCTAATATCCGATACAAGTCTTGCTTTTTGTTTTTACTGCAAAAGGACTAAGTGACTTGTTTAAACATTGTGTATGTGCAAACGTGTCTGTGTACATGCACATGCATGTGAGGAGGGGGCATGCACCCATGTTTTGTTGAAGCTGGAGGTTGATCTTGAGTATTTTCTCCTATTGGTCATTACAGTATTTATATTGCATTTTTATATTGTGTGCACACACCAGTGGAGGTCAGTAAACAGCCTGTGGAAGTCAGTTCTCTCCTTCTTCCTTGTGGGTCCCAGAGATCGAACTTGGGTCATTGGGCTTGGCAGCAGTGCTTTTCCCACTGAGCCCTCACTGACTTGTGCCTTATTTTTTCAGAGTGTCTCTCACTGACCCTGGTGCTCATTCATTGGCTAGACTGGCTAATCCATGAGCCCCGGATGT